GGGGGGTGGCTCCACAAAGCCGCTCTGGAAGGGGGTGTGGCGGGGCAGCCTGCAGATCTGGGCTTCATTGGTGACTCAAATGGGGACTAGGAGCGGCCCATCTCCGCCACCCACTGCCCCCCAGTGCCCCGAGGGCCGAACATGCTGCAGAGGCCCCGAGCAAGGCCAGCTGGGCCTTGCACATCCCGGGGGCCCTGCCACACACCTACTTTCTAATGCCGCCAGCAGAATGGAGAAGTCCTCGTCCTCTGCAGGGAGAAAGGAGCGTCACAGCCTGTCCCCCAGCTCATCTGCCCTCCTCGTCCCCCTGGGGACCAGTGGGCAAGGAGGGCATGGCCGCCAGGACTGCCAGAGGACGGGGTGGAGACCTGTCCAGCTCGTGCTGCTGATCAGCAGGGCCGGCCGCCCACGAAGATGCGTCACCGCCCCGCTCCGGGGGTCCCGCTCCGTGAAGGCCGACCTCTCCATGCCGGGGTCCAAGTGCTCTGAGCTGCAGCAAAGAGGAAGCCACCAGCCGCTATAGAACAGCTGTCGGCCGTGGCCAGCCCCGCCCCAGCCCACTGGCTCCTGCAGGGAGGGCCCAGCATCGTGAGCCCTGAGGCCTGGCTGTGTCCTACGCTGAGGGGTGCTAGTCGCCAGGTACCTGGGTTACAGGAGCACACACAGTGACCGAGCCCTTGCCCCACAGCTGCCCACTCTCATCATCCCCTCAACTTAGGGAGAGGCTGCTTAATGCCACTCGCCAGCCAGTTACTGAGAGGGACACGCGACAGGATGCAAGCACAGCTACACTGAGGTCCCTTCCCTGGCACCAAAAGACACCCAGAGGACCCCCACTCCCACCACGGGCACAGGAACCCACGGCAGGAGGGTACAGGAGGGTACTGGAGCACAGAGGTCGCAAACACCTTCTCACGGCCCGCCAGAGAGGAAGTGCTGTGGGCCTGCTGCGCTCTGCTGCAAAATGCAGCCCTGAGGCTACAGCACACCAGGGAAGGCACCAGGGAGCGAGTGCTGAGCGAGCGAGTGCGTGAGCCTGCTGTTTCAACGGAGCTTCGCTTATACACAGGCAGCAGGCCCACAGCCTCTGTCGCCAGCCTGGAACTGAGGGTTCCAGGTCTGCAGGATGGAGCCCAGGGAGAGGCCAGCAGTGAGCACAGAAGGCGGACAAGATGGGGACTCACCAGGCCCTGAAAGCAGAGTGGGTGCGGGCCAGCTTCAGGAAGAGCTCATGCTGCAGATCCAGTGGCGTCTCTTTAAAGAAAGATGCTGGCCTGTCGTACAAGGTCACGGCCCTGCAAGGAGACCATTAGGGGCTCTGGGGAGGCGCGGAAGAGGTGCCGCAGCCCCAGAAGGACCCAGAAGGTACTCAGGGAAGCCAAGTCTCAGACAACGAGAAGCTCCAGGGGTTCTGAGATCAACGCCACCTGGACGGCCGGGCTGGCCAAAGAGCAACCCCCTCCTCCTCAGCTGCCCCACCGGCCATGGAATTGAACATTCCTGGCCCAGCGACATAGAAGCTCTCATCCTAACCAGCCCTGGGGCCGTGCCACCTTCCCTTCCCTTCCCTTCCCTTCCCTTCCCTTCCTAGGGGTCGCCCTAGGCCCACCATACCGGATGTGCCAGTTCTCCGCCAGGTCTTCCCGCATGGCATTGGTCACGCACAGGTTCACGCGGGAGAGGCGCCCACAGAGCTTCTCGTACCTGAAAAGGCATGCTGCTGGTCAGCCGGACCCTAGATGGCCCACCACAGCGGCCTGGGCCGACACCCCTTGCCACAGAACGGGCCGTGCCCGCACTGCCAGTACCCACACCGTGTGGCACCTGCCGTCCCACTTTGAGCTTCGATACAACCACTTCTAAAGGAGATCACGTAGCACTGCCAAGTGCAAACCCAGGCTCTCTCGCCGCAAAAGAAGAAACACAAAGTCAGCCATCCGTGCCACGGCGGCAAAGGCCGGGGTGCGGCTGGCAGACGTCAGGGAGGCCTTGAAGACCCGTCAGCTCCACGCTGAGACCTGAGCCCTGATCACCGGAGGACTGAAAGTTCGTTCAGCCCCCCACAGCGGAAAGTGGCAGCTCCGGGGAACCTGCCTGTGGCTGACTCGGCCTCGTGCCCATGAGCTGCGGTTGGGGTAACGGCCCTGGCTTCCTGCCTTGGAAAGCGGAGTCATCCCGTCACCGGGCCACGCCAACCCTGAGCAGGGTGAAGACGGAAGGGCTTGACCTGAGGCCTGGCACACGGCAGTCACTCGCTGACTGTGAGCTGCCGCCACCGCCACTGAGGAACGAGCCATCCGGCAAAGGCCGCGGGTGGCGACAGCGGGAGCAGACGTCCCAGTCTGCTCAGTGCTCCCAGAGCTCCTCCAACAACTCTCCCGGCTCCGGGTCCAGACCCCCCACAGGCCTTTCCTCCCTCCCCAGCCCCACCTTCAGGAGCCGCGGCCACCAGGTTTCAGATGGGGTCTGCCCTCGCCCGCTCTGTTCGTGTGGCCTGCGTGTGCCCAGGGCCCGCTCCACCGTGAGCACTCGTCCCGAGCCTGAGACAACCTAGGACAAGCCCTGGCCTCAGTGGGTGGATGAGGTGAAGGCAGGTGACGTCTATGGGCCTGAAAGTGTGGGTGAGAGCCGGGGGAGCTCCTGGGTCCAGAGACCACCTCTGGAAGGGAGTGTGGGGCCAGGTGAGCAGGTGCCTATGACACCGTCTCCACCTGGAAGCTGGCCATTTCTCCAGACCTTTCAGTTCTCCTTGGCTAGGCCTGGTCCTACCACCTGTCACCAGAGTTCAGCTCGATGCCCCGGCCAGGCCCTAACCCCTGCAGGGCACACAGGGAACCAATTTCCAGAGCCTTCTCCCACTCACCCCACTGCGGTCTGGGGAAGGCACTGGCACCCTCACCCAGACTCACCACTTGGCCAGCAGAACGAGGGGGTGGCTGGGGCCGTGCACCAGGCCCATGATGGAGTAGCCATAGTTGTGCCAGTCGATGACGAGCTCGCTCCCACAGAGGCGGCCCACCGCCCAGCAGACAGCAATGGCAGGCAGGCCCGGGGGGTTCTAGGGCAGAGACGCCTGAATGAGGAGGAAGCCAGACGCTGCCGAGGACGCGAGGAGGAAACGGCTGTGATGCTTGCTGCGGAGCCAGGGCCCTTACAGAACCCTCGGTGGTGCCCAGGGCCCCCCTCTGCCTCCTGAGCCAGAGTGAGACGGCTCCAAATGGACAGAATTGCCCGGACTGCAGTCAAGGTCACCGATAATCAAAATGGAAGAGATGCCATTTTTCACCTATCACAAAGCGCTAAAAACCTACATAGCTGCTGACGGTGACCGTGTAGGAGAGGCATCCCATCCGGCGGGGCGCAAAAGGCTATGGCCCCCCCTAGTCTAGGGCTGCCAGTAACGAACCACAGTATTTTGAAAACACGGAAACTTGGGCCGAGCAATCCCACTGCTAGGAACTTACCCTAAAAAGAAACTGGGCCTATGTAGGGAACAGCAGACGACATAATGGTTATGTCGCTGGACTCCCATGTGGCCAACCATGGAATAAGTCCTGGACCCAGCAGTTTGAAATTCACACTGGATGAATGTGCGTGTGTGCCCAAAATCCCAAGAGGAGAGTAGAGGAGAAGGGATTGCAGCCTGGCCAACTCCCCTGGAGGGTGATTTCTCACTTTCTGTCTCTCTGTCTTTCTCTGTCTCTCTGGTAAGCTCATGTGCCCTACAGCAAAAATCTCTCTTAAAAAAGAAGGCGGGGAGGGGGAACTGGACCGTGCGGGCAGCCACGTGGTGCAGCAGGAACACGAGGCTCCCCGGTGCTACAGCCATTGGGAAGGTCCCAGGGTTATGTCCTGCGTCTCCCTGAGCTCGCCTGTCTATGATTCTGGCTGGCTGAGATCGGGGCAGGGCACAGCATGAAGACCCTGTCAGGGATGCTTGCCTATCTCTTTCTCTGTCTCCCTCTCGCAGAATAAATATACGAACTTAGTTAAAAAGAAAGAAAGGAACCGTGAAAAGGATGTATGTTCACTATGCTCTCAACTGCACCATTTGTAAACGTAGAGAGCAGGGCCAAGGGTGGTATGGTGGTTTGGGCAGCTGGAGCTCACATGGTCAACCGCAGTTCGAGTCCCAAACTCAGTGCCCTGAAAAACACACCCAAAATCTCAAGAGGAAAAGGGATTATGATGTGGCCACCCCTCATGGGGGGTACTTCCTCACTTCTCTCCCTGACCCCTGGCAAGTGCACTTGTCCTATGGCAGATTATACAAAAGGAAAAACCAGAAGCCTCTCAGTATTCGCTAAGATGAGACGAAAAAGGCCGGCTCATAGTTACTGCTGTGATGTGAGGCTCAGAAGCCAGACCTCACATGGCAGCCACAGTTCTAACCCCTGGCCTGTCAGCCTGGCACACGCCGACGGTGCGGGTAAGGGCCTCGGATCTGACAGGCTGGAGGATCGGAGGACAGGGATCGCAATGTGACCAGGCCCTGTGGAGGGTGTTCGTTTCTCTCTCTCTCCTGTTCTCGCGCTCTCCTCGTGTGCACACATTCTATCATAAATAAGGAAAGATGAGACTAAATATACTACAGTATATCACATACTGAAATTATATGCAGCCCATTAAAATAAGATGTTTCTACATGTTAAAAACTGGTATAGGGGAACCAGCAGTTAGCGTAATGGCTATGTCGCTGGACTCCCACGTAGTCGACCGCGGTTCGCGTCTCGGACCCGGTGGCTTAAATCTCATGCCGGGTGCGTGTGCGTGCGTGCCCAAGATCCCGAGAGGAGAATGGAGGAGAAGGGATTGCGGCGTGACCATCCCCCCTGGGGGGGGATTTCTCGCTTTCTGTCTCTATGTCTCTCTCTCTGTCTGTCTGGCGAGGGCACGCGCCCTATAGCAAAAACCTCTCCAAAAAAAAAAAAAAAAAACTGGAATAGGAAAGGGGCCAGCAGGCGGCGTGATTAAGGGCGCTGGACTCCCACATGGCCGACCACGGTTCGAGTCTCGGACCTAGTGGCTTGCTTTTTCACTTTCCCTCTCTCACTTTCTCTCTGTGTGTCTTTCTAGTCAAATTAAAATGAATAAACAAATACATCAAAATGAATGAATAAATAAAATTAATAATTCTTTTTAAAAAATTGGTATGAGAAAGAGATTAAAAGCTTAAGTCTAGAACCAGACTCACTCCTAGGTTCAAATCCTGACTCTACCACTTTCCAGCTGTATGACAGTGGGCTACCCTTAGAACCCCTCTGCATCTGGGGTCCCTCCACTCTAAAATGTAGGCAGTACAAGAATCTGCTTCCTAGGGCTGCTGTGAGGATTAAGTGAATTAATACATGAAGAACACTTAGGTACATAATAAATACGGGACTCTACTATAATGACACCAATAGTATGAATGGTTAATACAAGAATGGACATATACCACAGGCACCTACCTGCACTTCTAAGTTTATACGCACATGGCATAATGGTTACATCACTGGACTCACATGCAGTCGACCATGGGTTCAAGTCCCAGACTCGGTGGCTTAAACTCATGCAGGGCATGTGCGCATGCATGCCCAAAATCCCAAGAGGAGAATGAAGGAGAAGGGATTGCTGCATGTCCATCCCCTCAGGGGATGATTTCTCGCTATTTCTATCTCTCTCTGACTCTACAGGAAGCACACATGCCCTATTGCAAAAGTCTCCCTTTTAAAAAAAGGAAGTTTACGGGACCAACAGGTGCGTGTGCGTGCATGCCCAAGATCCGGAGAGGAGAATGGAGGAGAAGGGTTTGTGGCATGACCATCCCCCCTGGGGGGTGATTTCTCACTTTCTGTCTCTCTGTCTCTCTCTGTCTTTCTGGCAAGCACATGCACCCTATAGCAAAAACCTCTCCCAAAAAAAAGGAAGTTTATACTCACATACACAAACAAGCAATTTATCAATTTGTGTATTTTTAGAAGGCTAGAAAGTAAAGAAGACTGTTGGCAGTGGTTCTTACAGAGGGAGATGGGAGCGGGCTCATACCTGGAGAAAGATGTAGTCTGCTGGCTCCCTCCACGTCAACTTCCACAGCAAGTACACTGCCTGAAGGACAACTTTGACTCCGTATTGAAGGACTCGAGGCCCGACTGCAAGTCAGAAAGGCCCTTCACTACCGTGGAGCTCTTGGTAATCGACTGCATACGCCCCAGCCCCCATCACTCCCATGGATTCAGAAAAATTTCAGAGCAGATGGCTTCCTACCTGTAAGACTCTTAAATTCTGTCAGTCCCACAATCTGGATTCTGTCATTCTGCAAGAGCTCATCACGGGGTTTGGAATCTGAAAATGACGATATTCCCTTTAATACATCAGATGCAACCACCTAACAATGCCAGATAATTGCCCAGCTCGAGCTGAGTGGTGGAGAGTATTTTACAAAATAAGGCTTTTCAAGCCTCTCTTTTCTCCATAGCCAGAGCAGAGAATTCTATTTCAGCAGTTAATTCTGTTTTTTTTTTCTTTTTTTGAGATACTTTTTTGTTATAGGGTACATAAACTCACCCAAAGAGACAGAGAGATAGAGAGAAAATGGGAAATTACTCTCCCTCCTCCTCCAGCAATCCCTTCTCCATTCTCCTCTTGGGATTTTGGACACACATGCACACGCCCCTGGTGTGAGTTTCAAGCCTCTGGATCCAGAACTCAAAACTGTGTTTGGCCGTGTGGGAGTTCTGTGCCTTAACCACTGTGCCACCTGCTGGCCCCACAGCAAATGCTTGTCCAGATTCCACTAGAATACCCAAAGAGGGCCAGCATCTTACCTGCATTTACTGAACATGCCTGGCACATAGCAGACACTCAATTAAGCTGACCTAGACCCCAGAGCAGTGGCATTTTCCCACGCAGGGAGATTTCTAGGAAGTCCCACTCCCCGCACTCACTCTGGGAAAGTGGACTCTAACCAGGACTAAAGACAACCAGTGCTGTTCTGCTTCTCTGAGATGGGACTGAGTAGTGCTCTCTAAAGATCTCCACATGGAGAAGGAAGGAGCAGCCATTCCTGCCCCACACAGTGGAACAAAAGCCAGGCAGGGGAACCAATGGTACACCTGCTTGCTGGCTCGGGTCGAAGAGGAACAAAAAGAGCGATGAGGCGGGTCAGCTCCCGGCCTGAGAGGGACTGCAGGCAGCCGTTCTTGCGGACGCTGGCCCTGGAGTCCCACGCCCCTGGGTTCCCACGCCAGCCTTTCTGCTCATTAGAACTGAAACCACACAACCGGGTTGCTTAACTGAGCGCACTCCTGACATATGGCAAGCGCTCGATTAACGCCAGCTGTTTCTAGACACCCGCCCCCAAGGAAGCTGGACCGACAGAAGCCTGGAAACCGCCGTTCAGCACAGAACCAGCCTCGTCCAAACTCGGGAGAGCTGCCCAAGGGAGGAGAGACAAAAGTGGGCGCTTCTGCCTCGCAGCCCGGGCCCGTCGGAGCCGAGCGTCAAAGGCCGCGGCGCAGCCCCCTCCCAGATTCCGGGCACTCACTGCAGAACCCGAGGATGGTCACGG